TATGTAGTGTTGACGTTTCAATGCAGGAGTGTGTTTTATATGTAGTGTTGAAGTTTGAATGGAGGGTGTATTTGTATTTAAAGTTGCGGCTCAGATGCACAGGTACACACTCTGACGCACAAGCAGATACACAGATACATACACTGACTACATACAGATAAACAGGCACACACACTGACACAGGTACATATATTGACACACAGACACATACACTGGTAGACGTACTGACAGACATACTGACACAGGCACATATACAGGCATACTGACACACAGACACATATACCGACATACTGACACACACACACAGACACATACACTGATCAACATACTGACACACATACACTGACAGAAATACTGACACCCACACACCGACAGATATACTGACACCCACATACACTGAGAAATACTGACACACAGACAGATATACTGACACATGCATACACATGCACTAACAGACATACTGACGACTGACAGACATACCGGACACATACACACACTGACACACACAGATACACACACACATATATACTGACACACAGACAGACAGACATACCTGACACACATATATACTGACACACAGACAGACAGACATACTGACACACACACAGACATGCTGACACACACACACATACACTAACACACACATACACATACACTAACACACACATACACTAACACACAGATACACTAACACACAAACACACACACCAACACACATACACTAACACACACTAACACACAAACACACTAACACACACATACACTAACACACATACACTAACACACATACACACACACTAACACACATACACAAACACACACACTAACACACATACACTAACACACAAACACACACACCAACACACATACACTAACACACACAAACACACACATACATACACTAACACACACACCGCAACAGACAGATATACTGACACACGCACACACGCACAACAGACATACCGACGCACCGACAGACATAACTGACACATACATACCGACACACACACAGATATACACATACACCGACACAGACAGACATACACCGACACACACACACACAGACACCGACACACAGACACGCTGACACACACACACCCAACACACACACCAACACAAACACAACACCAACATAAAACACAACACATACACACACCAACACACACACACCCAACACAAACACACACCAACACACACACCACAAACACATACACACACCAACACACACCACACACCAACACCACCACACCAACACACACACCCACACCCACCCAACACACACACACCCACACAAACAACAACACACCCAACACACACACACCCAACACACACAAACACACACATACATACACCAACACACACACCAACACAAACACACACTAACACACACAAACACACACACTAACACACATACACTAACACACACAAACACACACATACATACACTAACACACACATACACTAACACACATACATACACTAACACACACATACACTAACACACACATACACTAACACACAAATACACACACACAAACAAACACATACACTAACACACAAACACACACACAAACACATACACTAACACACAAACACATACACTAACACACACACACACATTTTTTTTTTTAAATGTAATCCCCCCAGCCTCCTTACCTTTTGGAGTGCTGGGGGGATTCCCTGGGGTCCAGTGGTGATGCTGGGCTCCTGGGCGGGTGGCCGGTCGGGCAGTAAGGCGGGCGCGCGAGGGAGCACACACTGCTTCCTCTTCAGCTCCCTCGCGCGCCGCGTAGGGATGCCGGCGCCGGAAGATGACGTCATCTTCCGGCTCCGGCATCAGTGCGGTGCGCGAGGGAGCTGAAGAGGAAGCAGTGAGTGCTCCCTCGCGCGCCCGCCTTCCTGCCCGACCGGCCACCCACCCGCCGGGGTCAGCGGGGCCCACGGGGTAGGTGCCTCGGGCCCCCCAAGAGAAACTGGGCCCGGGGCAGCTGCCCCGTTTGCCCCGCGTTAAAGACGGCCCTGCTTATGACAAATCACGGCTTGAACTATCTTGCTTTGCATGTAATGCGTCTATCACATATATTAGTTTCCCCTTTTACGTTGCATTACTGAAATAAATGAAGTTTTGCACGATATTCTAATTTTTCAAGTATCACCTGTAACTACTCAACATTAATTACACGATAAACTGAATATACATACAAACACTCAAACAGAAAGTCATATAGTACAGAGAGTAGCATACATCCTCTGTCCAGTCTCCCCAACTGATAAAAGAGTCATAACTGTTCAGAAGTGCAATGAGTAAAGGATTTTTATTTTTTTGTCCTGCCTGCAGAGGTAAAACAGGGTATATGCTTTGCCAGCTAGAGCATGTTACTTATGCAGGATTTAAAGGGCCACTATAGTCACCAAAACAACTTTCACTTAATGAAGCAGGTTTGGTGTATAGATAATGCCAATGCAGTCTCACTGTTCAATTCTCTGCCATTTAGGAGTTGCATTTGTTTATTCAGCCCTAGTCACTGCTCCCTGAATGTAATGTGCACAGCCTTCCTAACACTTCCGGAAATGTGAGATCTAATGTTTACACTTCATTTATGGGCACATTTTGTTCAATTTAGAATTTCTTATCCCTGCACGGTTAATAGCTTGCTAAACCTTGTAGGAGCTCCCCTCCCTCACCCCTGTGAGTGATTCAAGTTCAATTTACAGAACAGCAGATACACATTTCTAAAGTAAGTTAACATCTGATTGAAAATGAAACCATTTTATTTTCATGTGGGCTGTGTGAGTCACAGCCAGGGTAGGTGTGGCCAGAGCAGCATGGACAGAAACTAAAGCGATGAACTCTTAAATGGCAACGAATTGAGCAATGAGACTTCAGAGGCAACTGCTTCATTAAGCTACAGCTATTTTGCTGACTATAGTGTCCCTTTAATTCACTTTGAAAGGAGATTGCGATTGGTGCTCACTTTTTAGCATTGTGTCCTATGCAGTTACAAAGATCACATATCACATAAATTAACCCGGGAACCCAAATGTTAGAGTCACACACTTGTCCCCATACGCTGTGCAGACTCATAAGACACAGCCATTTCATAAAGTCTAGTTCTTCTCTTCACATAAATAAATTACCTATTTGTTGTTTGTATTTCTGAAGCTTGAATCGGGCCTGCTTGGTATTTTTGTGTCCTTCAGCCACCTGTTCTACGAGGTCTCTCATGCCCTTCTCTTCTTGGAGACGCCTCTCTGCGTACTGACGCATCAGTTGTGCAGTCTACACAGCCAGAAACACAAGCGGACGGCGGAGAGTCAATATTCTGCTTAAACAAACCCACTTCCTCTCTGACAGTTTAAATTCTAGCATAATCACTAAACAGTGAGATGGGGTATTTCTTATTCACTAAACAGTGAGCATATTGACAAACCAATATTTAAAGAGAGAGAGAGCTGTTGGGTGAATCATGTTTTGAGATGCAGCTGTCGACTCAATATCTTGCGCTAACAGTATGGTACATATATAGATGTAGAAATAATGAGATAAATGGCTAAGGATCTTTTTGTTTCTACCCCACTTTCACCCTGAAGCACCATATTTAAATAATCTAGAACAATGGAGGTTATGGCATATGGGACATTTAAAGATTACTAGAAGACACTGGAAATTAAACTCAGGCTGTGTGATGGTCAGCTCTGTGTTATATGAAAAGAAAGTCTATTATTGTATGGGATTGGGAACAAAGAGACTCAATTTCCATTGCTATTGTGGACTGTTGCAAAAACTTGTTTTTTAAAATTTCTCATTTAAAGCGGATTTCTACAAGGATGTTATTCCAGATGTTTGTGGACCTTGTTTCCAGGTGTTCTCGGTCAATGTAGCTTACAGAAATCTGGGGTGCCACGTTTTAGCCGTCTTTGTTCTAGGAAATACATTTATGATGAGTGTTTCTTCCTCTGAAACCATTTGTAGGTTTGTATGTCTGGCTTTTTATTGATATGCTAAAACAATAATGAATTTTAAAATGCGAAACGTGCGCTCTCGTTAGAGTTTACAGCCATCTCATGACTACTCATATTTATTCATTTTTGTCACACTTGGAATTAGATTATTTGTCTTAGAAATTACAATCCTGCTTCCTGGCATTAATGCTACATGAGTACAAACGAGCAGAATACAGATAATTGAATCTCAGCTGCCTGATACCTATACATTACTCCTGATTAATTAGATGTCTTCATAAAACTGGCTTTGTGCTGTACATCTTGTTTTAATACATGAGCGTTGGTACAGAAGCCTCACAAATCTGTTTAATTTCGCAATATTTTACCTCTTCTTTTTTCATTAGAGCCTTCTTCTTGTTTTCCTGGATAAGATTCTGGCGAGCCAAGACTGCTTCCTCGCGGCTAAGTTTGCCCTCGAGACGCCTGCACTCTATCTCTGCCAGCTGTTGTTCGAGGTCTCTCTCCCGTTGTTGCCTCTGCCATTCTAGAAACTCACTCGGGTCTCGTGCTCCGTCCACTAGTTTTTCAACTCTAGAAAACAGATCACAGAGCAACGATCTGAAACTTAGACAGTCTATGGGTATCAAACTATTACTCTTATGCACAAAATTATTCATTAAATAATGATCAGGAATTCAAAGTGAATCACAAATATATAGTACATTAATAAAAACAACTTGATATAATACCTATGAACAAGAACAATATATGGTGCTTGCTTTCAGTTTACAAGGAAAAAGGAAATAGGGAGTGATACGCAGAACATGCAGTAAGAGCAGAATGTTTGCAAAATACAGAGTAAGGGAATAGAGGAAACAAAAAAATATAGTTTTACATTTTACAAGGATAGTAAAAAATCACTTCTCTTATAAAACAAATTCAGTTACAGCCAATTTTAACATGGGATATAAACATACTAACTGCAATAATTACTGCTTAAACTGCTTCCAGAGACTATTTTCAATTTATGCTCTCTTGTGGTCACCTCCAAAGGGGCAACTGGACTACTAGAAATGCACGTTTGGCATCAACTCCCTTTGATTCCGTGTATACTTGGAATTCAGACCAGATTCCTTTTGGTGTCAGCACCCCACCCCTCCAATCCTGTTACCCCTTTGGAAGTTACCCCTTTGATATATAATATAGAAATAAATGTATCTGGTAGCTTTTGTCTTT